TACAAATACAAAAAATTTCTGAAGGTAATTCTTCAAATAAAATGCATGTATAGAAATTGCATCGAAATTGACTAGAATTGCATTGAAACTGACAATAATAATTAACTTTCAAATTCCATGCTAGAAAACCATATTATCAACTGGTTGCCAAACAAACACATCTTTACTTTTAGTTTGCTTTAAAAACAATCAATTCATTTTTCACAAAATTCTCCCATTCAACTGGTAAAATCTCTGTTGTATTGTTCCTCCTCATTTTCGAGTACAATCCCATGTTATTCAGAATTTTTAGCGAATGTTCACGTGCCTTTTTTTTTATGTGTCTGTGTGATTTTTTAAGTATGAATTTTAGTTTCTATTAAAGAATAATGAATTAGTAATGAAATTACTCGTACAGTCTTTGACATCATACCCGTTAATTACCTTGGGAAAGATCCGGAGAAATCCAATGCTTGAGTACTAATATCAGTATTATTGCCAAAGCTAACAGCCAAAGCATTCCCACCTTTAGTAGCTATTCCTCAGCCTTTTGTCATTTATAAAAATTAATTAATTAAAATTAAACATACTTTTACAAAACAACAGCATCTCCTGTATGCGACTTACAGATCAAAATCCATCTCTTTATAATATAAGAAATTAAAAGTGGCATTCTAAAACTAACCAATTTTTAAAAAAATAACCTTTTTATAAATAAAGAGTTTTCTGCTTGTGTACACATAATAATTATTTTTTGCCACTTTATTCCAAGCAATATCCCTTATCACTCACGGCTGACGCTTTGAGACGTGTATATTCATTATCGAGAAAGATTTATTTTGGTTTCGTTTGTTTCCAGCTGAAATTCATACAAAGGAATTTTCAACTGCATTGTAAAGTTAACTTCTTAATCAATTAGCGCTCCTATACGAATATCGCGCAGATGACTGTAAAATTCTCGCTAGTAAAGTATACATGACTGTGTACTGCTCGAGATCCTGACAAAGTTTTTACAAACTCATTTAAATTTTTGAAGTAAGAAAGATTGAAATTTTAGCTTTCTTATTTAAGAAAATGATTATTTAACCCCTTTCCTCGAAATAAATGAATATCTGGGTTATCAGCCCGTATTAAAAATTTTCGGATAACAGGGGACCATTCCTAATCGTGCACTAAAGTGCTATTTGCGGTAAATTTTTTATTCATCTCATACCTAACTTTGCGATGACATCATAGTGAATGAGCGGGGAAAATGAACACAGATCCAATAAATTTCCTTCCGAAATTTTCAGTATTGCTTTCCTTTATTTTTAATTTGTTGCCTTTTATTTGATTATTTTAATGAATGTTGCTATTTTAATTATGATGATTATTTTAATTAATGTGTTTTGTTTAGCTGAGCCCAAAAGGTATTTCATGCATAAGTTACATATATTGTAATTCTGAATCCACCAACGTTTAAATCGTAACAACAGCTCAAGTAGAATCTGCAATAAATGCAGAACGGGCCTTGGAGGCAATTTCTGTCCAAGGCCTTGGATGGGCCTTGGAGGCCATCGCCCAACAGGCGAATTCCTGAAATTTCTCTGAAGATACGTTTTTGAAGCTGAATTTTACCAGAAGGCCAAAAACTTTTAGAATTAAGAATGAAAGCTTCGCCAAAATAGGAGTGGCTCCATCAGACCGAAGAGGGGAATATGTATATTTGAGAAGTTTACTTTACAGGGGTTATCTATCTAGCTTTAAAACCTTTTTGCGCATGAGCGAAATAGCTGTTGAGTTGCCACAGGCTGGAACAGAAAATTGTACATAAGCGGCCGTGTTTGCGCTATACCCGTTTTCCCCTAATCACCAAAAAATTTGCCGCTTAAAGTCGATGTAATTTGAAGATTATTTCAAATTTCTGCCACTAGATAGAGGCACATACGCCCTGATTTTCGCGCCGTATCGACGGAGAGCTTCAGCGTTCGTAATGCCAGTTAAAGTTACAGCCTTAGGACAAAACGATCAAGACTGATTAAGACTCAGTAAGCTATATGCCAAAAGAACCAAAGTTCCAAATTCCAAGCCGCAACCGTCAGCCTCCGTTCAGACTCCAGAAATGCAATCTTCATTTGCCATAATAAAATAAACAAACCACGTCTTTAGGAGGTTTGGTTTGGTTTATGTTATTATGGCAAAACACTCGAGGGCTATCTGCCTAAGGGGAGGGAGCCCTTGTGGAGGACTTTCAAAGGGAAACTGCCTCGGGTACAGGTTACAGATTGGGAAAACTACAAAATGGCCATGCAGCCAGCCCGTTCGTCAGGATTCGAACCCTGGACCGACCGAACTAAGTGTTCTGCGATATTACCACTCGGCGGCTGGTGAGCCTATTGTCCATACTTAAAGACTAGTAAGGGGCATACTTAAGTACTAGAGGAACCACCCTGACGCAATTGGGCAGTTTTTTATAATATAAAATAGTTATTGCACACTTATACACTATTGCACACATATTTCATGTTTTTATTAGGTATTTATCCTGAAAATCACTCAACCATCCTACTTACAAACACTTTTTTGCTTCTTTTATTCTGGTGGAAATTTGGTGACTATCCCTTTGAGAATAAATTCACAGCTACTTTCCCCTTTAGATTTTGGTGGAGAATATTGTATTCTTGCAAAACAGGGGGAAAAGAAATATTTCGCTTAATTTTACCGCAGTTGTTTCCATTACAAACAAATCCTCAAATTTAACTTCCATATTTTACAACTGAGTCAAAGCCCATATTTGAAGTAACTGAGTTATTTGTGATAACTTAGTTTAAGCACATATTTTATAGCTGAGTTTAAAGCAAAATAAATATCATGATTTGTCTACATAATGTATTAATACTTGGAATGTAACAGAAGGAAAGCATACGACATGTGTGCTTGTTAAAATTGAAAAATTGTCATGTGTATGGTTGTGAGAGTTCGCAGCATTCTGGAAATATAGCGACTTCTCTTAAAGTGATTGGGCTAATACATAACAGCCAGACTTCCCTTTAAAAACCACAAAATGAAACTGTATTTTTCTACTAACGAAACACGAAAATTCAATTCTGTCAACTGCAGCTGATGAATGATGGTAAAAATGCAATCATTTATATACTTTCTTATTTTGTGTTCGTTTTTTATATTAGTTTTGGATTTAATATAATAGTATTTTCCCTCCATGCTTTATATTTCCAAGGTTTATATATCGTTAAAGTGCAACCTTTCTGTCTGTTCAGATTTCGCGCCAATACTTACATATATGTTTAATCCTTAGAAAACCGAAGCCTTCGCTAACCTATGTGCTTAAAATATAGAAAGCCCGCCACCATTGATTACCCATCCATTAAACCACAAAGAGGTGTGAAGATTTCAAATGACATCCTTTCTACTTCCTAACAAAAAAGCTTCCATTAGCCTTTTAGGACAAGCTATTTGCTAACTGATACAACGCATTTGGGAAATTGCACCTGCTACGGCATACCTTAGGGAAAGGGGCAAAAACAATATCCCGACCTCGTCCGTTTCGAGCAGTTGTGGTCGTTTGAATGACCGGCTGTCTAGAGAGTTTTGGCCTTCAAAGTGTTAAGGGACAACCTGTTAATTAAAAATACCAAAAACTTTACCTGAAGAATAATTCAAGTTAAAATATAATTATTTTAAGTACATTTCTGTAAACTGCAGTTCAAGGTAAGTAAATAAACTAGCAATTCTTTTAATATAAATATGTCTTATCATCTTCGTTTGTTAAGCTCATAGCAGGATACAACAGATGGTGAAACAAAGAAAAAATTGAGAAAACTCATATTTTTGTATAGAAGAATATAATTTTTGTGTCAATTAGAATTACATAATTTATGAGTTTTTATAAAAACATAAAAGTTATTTTAAACGATACATAAGTTTAGACATACATCATACACATTTGCTTTTTCGGTGCAAAGCTAACAAGAAAGAGCTAGGAAATATATAAGGGGCATACATTTTTTAAGTAATACATATAATATACATATTTTTGTAAAGCTTCAATTACTGGAAACCATTTAAAGGACTGTTAATAGATAAAAGCAATGAATAAATAGATCGACAAAACTCAAATTTATTCAATTTAGATAGAGGTACCTTCTAATTCGTATTTAGAAGTCAGAACAGGTATGAACAAAATTCTTTTACTTGAAAAAATGAATCTTTTGTTAGAAAAAGAGAAAAAATTAATCTTCAATAGCTAATTGCAGCTGATTCCTTAACTAAACGCTAAAATTGTCTAAATAAATCCTGTAGTTAACGAATTAGATTTTCTTGCACTCTTTCAGATTTACAAATATAAAACTATTTCAGATAATGGCATTAATTGTGAAACAAGTTCTCTACAAATATTTTAAAATTCTTATCTCTTAATTTTTTTTCTTTTTTTCTATTTTGCCTGATAGGTGGTAGTATGCTCATTTAGTCTTTGGTCCAGCCCATTCCTTTGACGCCCGCTTCGCTACCACAGAAAAAAAAAAAAAAAAAAAAAACTGAAATTTTTCATATTTTAAATTACGTCCAAAGGGGCGTTTTTTTAACGTTTTGAGTGTTACCTTTATTTATTAAATATCATGTTCTTTGCACTTAAACCATAAAATTCAGTTCAAGAGCAATATCGCAAAATAATGTTAAATTAAGCATATCTTTAGAATTTCCGATATACACAGTCTCGCGAGCTGGAGATAAAATATATATAAGTATTTTTTTTCTATATAACGTTGCCATTGCTCGCTTTTAAAGCATTGAGTGTGTAAATCAAAAATTCGTTAAAGTTTTACAAAATATAAAATCTATAATAAAACAAATTCCAAAAATCAAAATTGGGATTTCCAGATGCCCATATTCGCAGTAGGAATTCGTTCAATACTCAAATTCGATGGATCTATGTACCATTGTTTTATCACAATGCGAGAAATAGACAATACATTTATGCAGATTTTTCATTATTTAATTTCTTCAAATATAATGCAGGACTCTAACATTTTGTTGGCAACAGTTTGAAAAGTGGAACCGAACGTTTATGAGTCCGACGCAAAATGCCAAAACGAAAGCAATAGTCCTTCGGGACTGAAATCCCTTTGGACTAAAAAAAAAACTTTTGTTGCTTGAAGAGCGTACATTGCTTGAAAAGCACTAAAAATCGACTAGAGCTTTTCAAGCAACAAATTATATAAATAATATATACTTATGAGTTTTATATAAAATGTTAGCCAATCTAAAATTCTTTTCATGCCTAACTTTACATGCTTTAATTCAATATAAAATCTTGGGCAATCTAAAAAATTCTTTTCATGCCTAATTTTATTCACTTATGATACTTTATTTCAGTGTGTTGGTTAGCTTATTACGGAATATTTTTTAAAGTTTTTGGAACATGTAGTGCAGATTCAGATACATCAATTTAATTGTTTATTATATAACTTGCATAATGTTCTTTTAATCCTTTCAAAACTAAAGCAAAAATGTAAAATCCCACAAGATAGAATACAGTGTGAATTGTGTAAGTTCGTATTTTAGTCCAAACAATAAGGAAAGCTCCTCAATGAATGTTATTTTAAAATTAGTTTTCAAAATTCAGGAATCTAATTATTCCTTCTTCCTCCCCGAGAAAGAACCGACAAATGATCTTGAAACAGTAAAAATGCCAGTTCGCTATGAATGGAATTTTACCCTGAAGCAGTAAGCAATAAGTGTTGAAGCAGTAAACATCAACATTACTCTCTAAAATATGCTCAAAAGAAGAAATAAGGGGAAAGCAGAAGTAAATCTGTCACTGCAATTTTCCTAGGTGTAATCATGTTAGCTTTCCACCGAATATAATTAAATAATCTTCACAATTATCCTGCAAAAGAATTTCTTCACATGATTAAGTGCTCGTTGTATATTTCTCTACGTTGTCCATCTGAGCTCTGTTGACTGGTTTCCTTTCCGCTTGCAATTCTAGGAAAAAGAAAGTTAACTTAGTATCATGAATAAACAGAACTAATAATTATTTTATTTTCATTTGACTGAAAAACGGTGATTTGACATTCTTTATTAAAGTCTGCGTTAGAGTCAACAATTGTCTGGAATATTTTTGAGTTGCTGAATATGATTAAATGTTTCTCCTGGTCGATTTACAAAACCTAGTTATTGTTCATTTCAATGTTAAAAGAGAGAAACAATATTATTTCAATTTTTAAAATTCCTTTAATTTTCAATGAAAATATTGTTACGAAATGTAAAGGCGCGGTGAGATGGCTTCCCCCGCAAAGCAGTTTTAGGGTTGCCATAAAATGGCAAAAAAGATAGAATTGCCACATTTGGCGAAAAATCGCCCAATTGGCGACATTTGGCGACAAAATTGGCAATATTCCTCGGACGGTTGAAGAACCTTCTGGAACGAATTCTTACCGATTCAGTCCAGAATGTTCCCGAACACAAGCCGAAAGCTATATAAACCCTGCTGGTCCGCATTCAGGAGAAGTGTGCGTTTCTCATCGAGTGGTGTGTCTCGTCTAGCGAGTCAATCCCTGCGGAAGCGATCGCGTTGACAGCCGGCCAGCGAGTGCCGAGTGGGTCATTGAGTGCACCGAAAGAGTCTCGTAGAGCATCGCGGTTAGTGCATCGTCAAGAGAGCGTGTTGAGCTCCGGAAACGACTGGACCGAGAGTCAGAGCTGTGCTCTGTGTGTCGTAGAGAGCATCGCGAGTTGTAGCGTGGAGAGTCTCGAGAGTACGTGGAGTTCTGAGAACGACCAAGCAGAGTCGGGAGCTGTACTCCGGAAAGCAGAGTCGGGTGCTTTGCAGGAAGCTTGTCTCCACCGTTATTGCCTGACAGTGTGAAGGCTGTGTCGCTGAACGTGTCAGCGTGTTTGTAGTAGATCTTCGACGACTGTAAAAAGTGATTTTGGAGCTGTCCTGAGAATATTGGTAAATAAAGTGTGTTTCGATACTTCAGTAAGTAGTATTGTCATTATTCACTCCAAATCCATACGAACCCTTAATAACGTAACAACTGATGTCAGAAGAATTAAAGGAAAACGTAACAATATCTTTGAGAACTATAAATTCTACACTTATTCTCCTAAATATTAGACACCGACAAGACTGCAGTGCCATAATAAGACTGCGGTGCCAGAATAAATGTTGATTAATTAATAACCATGCATAATTAATGTTTAAAAATCATTTTAATAATTTCAATTGTACTGTTAAAGATACTGACAGACGTTGCGAGGACAGAACATGAAAATTAATTACCTTCTTGCCAGGTATGCAACCGCCGTATTCCGTTAACTGTATGCATGTGCTAATCAACTACACCAAAATAACATGCAGGAGGGGGAATGCGGTAATTTCTTACATTCTTCCTCACTCAGAATAGCAATATAGGATGGGTAGGGAGATCTAGTCGAGCAAATCTAGAAGACAATATTTAATTCAGACGTCACTGTGTAGAAGATCTACTTTACAAGAAACGTGGAAAGTCAGGTTTCCTCAACGAAATTTAAACCACGGTTTTCCATGTGCTAGTTAGATGTCTTAATCAGAGCAAGATTTCCGACAAATGCCAGCCATTGATGTAGAAAAAACAAATCCCCAAGACCATGGCATGGAGGACTGCGATAATTTCTTATACCTCTTTCTTTTTGAACTAGCGACGAAGCAAAGACAAGACACCCAGTCGAGAAAATCCACGTCACCACATTTTAGTTTAAGGGTCATTGTAAAAACTATTAGAGTGCGAAACAAACAAAACCGAGTGCTTCGCTAGGATTCCAGATACATGTTATCTAGGTGATAGATGGATCTGTTACAATTACATCCCAGGAGCATGCATGAAGGCATGTGATAATTCCGCATAAGGTAACATTCAATTTCCTAATAACTATTAGTGGTTATTTTAAATGTTACCGGAATTCCAAAACAAATTCTGAAACATTTTCACAGGTATCAACTATTCAGTAACTATAACGGAAACGGAGCAGCAAACGTACTTAATGCAGATTTAATCTGTAACAGTGAGGAAGCTTTATGAAATATTAAAAATATTAATGCACATCTAAGAGAGGATAAGGTTTAAGAAATTTCTTTGAAGATGAAGCTGTTTTCTCAGATCATGGATTAGTTCGATTCTTTGATGATCAGAACATTAGCCAACCAATTAGTGCCTAAAGTAAGGTTCACACTAAATGTTTCAGAAAATTTTTTTATTTCATTTTATGTGGTATTTTCTTCTGAAGAAAGGCATGCAAATGGCATATTCTATTTCCTATAACTGTGATTTTGGGAAACTCTTAATTGGACAAAATGCAGAATTTCAAACACCTTTCTGTGAAAGTATGAAGAAACACTTTTGACAACGTTCTGTGAAGCCTGTTCTGTGCATGTAAGAAGAAACAAATTTGAGAAACACTTTTGAAAATAGTATGTAAGAGCTCGAAAAATGGTATTTAAAAGATTCAAAGATGCGAATGTTTACATCTTAAAGATATTATTTATACACGATTCATGGTGAATTATGATAAAAAAGTACAATAGAATTTTTATTAATTGAGCCTCCATCAACTGAGGTCTCTGTTAAACGAACTAGCAAGTAGTTTAAAGAAATCATTAGGAAAATTTAGTAGCATTAGAAAAGGTACCACGCAAATCAGTAACATTCGCGAATTCTCTTGCGGAGATTAATCTTTTGGTCTTTTTTTATCAGTGAGTCATCTGCATTGCGATACAAAAATGTGATTTACATGCATTAAAAACAAATACAAGACTAACTAATAAGGAATTTGTAGATATTTTCAAAGAATAAAATAATAACGCTTCCTAATGAATAAATTTAGAAAATAGCGAACGAAATTTTCAAGTTTGGCAAGACAAAGAAATCATTTCCGGCGTAGATCATACCCATCTTACCATAAAAACCATGAATTTTCTTATAAAGCCAGTCCATTCACCGGAAATTTAACTTGAGTCGAACTACCAATGTTCAGTGGTTTTTAACGCTAGGCCGCTAGTGAACATGAAGCCCTGAGCAAAGCTGTTTAGTATTCAGATCCTTTTTAGTGATCGTTTGTTGATAAAAGCTTAGTATAATCGCGTGGTGCCTGACGGAGTTATAGGACTATCACAAAAATGGGTAACATATTCTTTCAAAAAAAAAAAAAAAAAAAAGAAAGAAAGAAAGAAAGAAACTAACGTTTAAAGAGAAGTATGTAAACAAATTTGACAACATTTCACAATTTGCGTAAATTTAAAAAGGTTTTTTTTTTTTTTTTTTTCCTTTGTAATTTTATCAGGAAACAGTTTAAAAATGTTTCTGACGTGGACAACATACGCCTTCCTTGTACCGATTGTTAAAATATATATATTTTTTTCTTTCCTCGAATTTCACCAGAGATATATTTCTTATTAAATCATTTCAATTCTCACTTCGCGGCAAGGTAAAAATACATAAAAATTCAAAACACCTTCATTAAAAATTGCAAAATACAGAAAAATCTAAACCACCAAATACAGTAAAAAACAGTAAAAAAAGATTTTTTTTTTTTTTTTTTTTACAATTAAAGTAAGGATAGGGTTTCTACGCAAAACAAGCAATTTAGCCAGCGGGCAGTAAAACAAAATTTTCGGTGCACAAAATTGAAAGTTAAATTTGGCCCTACTGTTGAAAAAGATATTGAAGTTGGTGCACCAACTGAATTAATTCACTGTTCTACTAAGAGTTTCAGATGCTAACAATTGGCAATCTCATTAGGCCTACCGCCACTTTTAAATGGTTAATAATTCTACAACTCTTGCATACAGATTAACTCTTGCATACAGATTAGATACAGATTTAAGTCATAAAAACCATAATCGGAACATAAAAGCAACATAATTCAATTACTTGTAAAGCAAAAAAATGCACAATTTATCAACATTTAAGAATTGAGCTCGTTGAGCTGGACAAAGCACGGGCCTCCTGGCAAGTAAAGTCGCCCTATGACCATCACCGAGCCGGGTAACAGAGTGAGAATATATAATATGTTGCGGCAGATTGCAACGAAAAAAGGAGAGCGCCCAACTACGTGTTACAGAAGTCCCATATACAAAAGTTCAACATTCTACGGCTACTCGTTTTTGAATTATGCGAGATACATACATACATACTTACGTAGAGACGTCACCAAAAAGTCTCTTCTGAATCCATTTCAAATCCTTTTTGGAAAAAATTGTCCTTTATTCTGTCCATACGAAGAGAAGAGACGTTATGCAGAAGTATCGTTCAAATGGATTCGAGAGTGGTCAAAACAGATATTTTCATTGAAATATGATACCTGAAATTTTTTGCGATTAAAATACTTCCTTTACTTCGTTCAAGAAAGTAAAAATCGATCGCAAACTTTGACCATAGCAACAAATAGCATTAAGAAGAGAAATAAAAGTTTATAAAATAGTGTGACGTATAATGACTTCACACTAACTTTGGAACCAATGTTACCAAGGTATGGGGAAGGAAAAACGAAAATTCCATTTCTGCTTTAAGTCCTAATATAGCATACTTTAAAAAATTATTAAAAGAAGAAGAGTTTGTTTTATACTCTGCCAAAATTTCAAAACTTTATAAGAGATACGTTTCTAGATGTTGAAATTTTAAAATAGTTTATATTAAACAGTTAAAAAAATCGTAAGATTTTCGGAAATTTTCCAATAAAATTTCAATCAAGTTTCATATAAAATATTTTTCGCAGCTGTATCGATGATGCAAACAGTAAAATTCTCAAATTTTTGTTTGTTCGTTAAACGAAGATGTACGGGAAAAATTGTTTCAATATTAAATTAAAAGCAATCTAAACTGAATTTTTAAAAAATCGCTTCACCACATTGTGTTGTCATCCACAAAAATGCGCTCAGCAGCTTATCAAGAAATAGTTCGATGACAATCTTTTAACAACAGCTAAAAACATCATAAATAAGCTAAAAAAATAGCGAAAAAAAGTTTGAAAATTTTTCTTAAATATGAATCATGATACTGTAATACTGGAACAATACGTACGGATACTGACCTCGAAGCTCTCTCTCATCTAAATAATTTCGTACGGCATTCTGTATGAAAGGTATGGCCATAAGCTCTTCAGGATTCAATTCTCCATTGTCATCTTGATCGTATTCTTGAACCATTTCGACGACAAATCGTAGCGTCCTAGCAATTCGTCTCTAACAGAAGAAAATCAACGAATATTTAGAATAATAATGCAAACTATAAGACATGTCCAATGTAGCTTTTCATAACAAATTCTGGAACTGGTTATCACTCTTCTACAGGCACTTGGCAACCCGGCGATACATATTTATGATTTCAATGTGCCGATGCATTTAATTAATTTTACTGATGATGTTGTGTTTCAGCTGCTGTAGTGCGAATGCTTTCAAAATCTGGTGAAAAATACTGCGATGTCCGAAAAGCTTTCTAACACTGCCACAGATTTTCTGGAAATGTGCCAATTCGTTTCATTATGCTAGAATAAAAGACAACAGCAGGAAAGGCTACTGTACGTGTATTTTTTATATCCCAAATGTTTAAAAATTGTGCAACAAATAGCTATGTTAATAACGACTTTCCGGAAAAGGCTTTATGATACTTCCGAAAGACCTACGGCAGATTAATACAGCTTCTTCGAAAATCACTAGATTTCCTGATCGCAAAAATCCCCCGCCAACTTTTTACTATGAATGCAAAATATCTGTGCTATAAACCATTTTTAATCCATCAACTGAAATATGGAATTATGGTGCCAATGACGCTAGACCCACTGTGATCATTGACACAGTTGCCAAATACGAAGCGCCGGTTGCCGGGTGCTTGTAGAAAGAAGTTATTTAACAAGAAAAAAGTGTTTGTCATGATGTGATACGATGGACACTGCTGAAGATATAAACTGCCAAAATCGCATTTGTCTTTCTTTTACGCTACAGCAGACGTAAGCGATAATTCGACACTTCTTGCGCAAGAAACAATCCCTGTGAAATTAATATGCATATTTTAAAATTTAAATATTGACACAGTTTTGTAACATTAAAAATAAATTTATGTAATGCAAGTACCAGTAAAAGATGAAACTTTTTTGTTTAAATAATTACGACAAAGCACGCAAGGACTATCTGCCGGGGGAAGGCGGGATCCCTTAGTAGAGAAATTTTGGAAGGAACCTAGATCCTGTCTGCATTACACGCGGGAAAAACCGCGACGATGATATCCGGATTTCGAATCCATGTCTAAATGTCAATGTTCAGCGGTTTCTGAACTGATAAGCGCATACTTAAGTTTTCGTAACAGCTATATCATTATAAGATGAAGTATATCATCATTTTCGGTTGTTCATTTTAATGAAAAATTTTATAATGATTTTTCAAAAGAATATTAAAGTTGGTAAGCTATTAATTTTGTGTAAGATTTCAAAATCTGTAACTTAATTACTGATTGAAATATAAACCTAATATAAGAAATATTTTATACTAACTACTAATTTTTTTTTAAATATATAAATATAAATAATCAGAATTTGGAAATTAAAAACTTTATTTCATTGGACGTGGAACTTTATAAACAGTTCAAATGTTCCACCATTTCCTTAGAAAGTCCTCTACGAAGTGATTTCTCTTTTTAGGCAGACAGCACTTGCGCCCTTGGCCACATTCGAATAATGTAACCTAAAAAACAGTCATATGTTCAAATAATGCAGCTTTTTTTTTTTTTTTTTTTTTTTTTTTTGTTAGCTTATACAGAAATGGCATGCAAATAACAAATTTTATAGAAAGTACGATATTTGTTATATGAATAAATGAAGCTAATATTTTGTGTTACAAAAAATAATTATCATTATACACAGAAAACAATATTTTCATATTTTAGACAATAGGTTTTTTTTTTTTTTTTTTTTTTTTGGAAATTAATGATAAAAATTGTTTTCTTAATTCGTTGCATTTTCTGTAAGTAAAGTTAAATAAAAGGTATTTGAATTCAACCTTCGTACTTTCCCTCTTAATTTCCGAAAACGGATGGAAAATGTTTAATTCAGTTTACTATTCTGTATGAATGAGTTGTTTCATAAGAATAAATTGAATTTAATATAATAATTTAATTTAAAAATAAATTTAATTAAATATAAACAAATTTTAATTTTAATTTTAACAAACACGTATAAAAGTAATAAAGCAAATTTAAAGCAAAAAAATAATAATATAATAATAATAATAATTTTTAAAATAAAAATTTAAAAAAGTGCAAACATATAAAAGATTTAATTCTCGAATTAAAATTAAAACAAACAATTTTTTTAAAAAATGCATTAGTGAATGACTGTTAAGTATATAATTGAATTTAATATAATAAATTTAATTGGATATCTACCTCTTCCATATCAAGTTTGTCCAAATTGTGCTGCCATCTGTGAAGCATTACCTACATGAAGTGTGTTTCGGTATTTTTTTTTTTTTTTTTTCTGAAACATACTAAGTTGGAAACGTTCTTTTTAAAATGTTTATAGCTTTATTGCGATATTAATGTTACTTTCCTCAGTCTTTAATTTATAATTTGAGTTTGCTTCTGTAATTTTTGTCATAGTTCTATCACCAGTTGCGGTTAATTTGAAGCCAGGCATACCGGAAGCACATTCTTCTCGCCATCTCTCAACGCCTGGCAAAAATTCTAATTCCCGTAAAAGTACATTTGAGTTATTATTCAGTTTGATTACGGCAAAGCACATTTTCATCTGCATAGGAGGAAAGTGGCCTCCGTAAAAGATCCTGTAAACTAGCTCATCTTCACGGAGTTATTCCGTTAAATGCTGTTCCGATTTTCTTTACTATCAGAACCGTTAAATATAACTTTAATATTTAACAGCGGCTATAATTAAAATTATTTTAGTTGAAAATGTAACCAATCTTCAATGTAAGCAGTGTTTCAAAATACTAAAAAAATAAATAAATGAAGTAAAATAATAATAATAATAATACACAAAATTTCTCGGGAAAGTATCATTTAGATAGCGAAATCTAAACGTCATCCTGTACAGGATCGAAACAAAAGAAAAAATTGATTTCTGATTAACAATTAAATTATTGTATTCAGCATCTTTTACGCTAAAGTTGATAATAAATTTAATATTTTATGTTTCACGAAATATTTGGATAAAAACCATATTGTTTGTACATCAGGAGATAGGATATTACGTAAAAATCAAAATGCTTATATTACTTCTATGCTTCGTAGCATGTTTCATTATCAATCTGGTTTTTTATTTAATTTTCACTTTCATTGATTTCGATAAAAATTAATTTAGGTACTATTCGGTTTTGTGGGGCGTAAAAAATCGCCAAACTATTGTTGACGCCATGCTGTCAAAAATAATTGCGGCAACCCTAACGCAAGAAAGGAAGTATAATAGTAAATAACTATTTAAGATTGATGTTTTAATTTAGATGAAAGGTTAATTTCATATAATACTTTTTTATTATTATAATTTATATGAAAAAGGCTAAATATGACTGAATGGAAGCATAAGAGTAAATGACTATTTCAGATCATTATTATAATTCATATAAAAATTGCCAAACATAACTGAATGGATGCCTGCATCGCTATTTCGCTACCGACTTATCGCTATAGCATAATTTCATCTCGTTGGTTGTTCAAACGTAATTTTCTATAATGAATGATGACTTTTCTTTGAAAATATTCTCGGCAAAGTGCAGAATCGCTCACTTATTTGTTCGCCGCTTTTTACAAGGGTAAAAACAATTGGATTTTTGTAAATTTTCTTTTACTTTTTAAGTGAAAATAGGTCGAATGTGTACATAGATAAAGTGTCAAGGGTGTTGCGCAGTGCCATTTTTTTTGCCCACTTCGGGGATTCTTTTTTAAGTGAAAATAGGTTCGATGTGTACATGGATACCGAGTATGTGGCAATTCTTTAAATACGCGATCAAGCAGTGGGTGATTCTGCACTTTACCCAAAATTCTATTGTCCAGACTTTTCGTCATGGGCAATTCCCAAATCCGTGTAATGTAATATCCATGTTGTAATCCATGTAATATAAATCCATGTTGTAAATATCAAAAAAGGATTTAAAATCAAAAAATGATTTAAAAATTAAACTAGTATTTAAATGGCGTCTTAAGAAATATAAAACTATATAAACTTCCACAATCTGAAATAGGCGCGTACGCTAGATTTTGCGCGCTGTTTAAATGGGTACGTTTGCTAGATTTGGCGATTTTGCGCATACATTTTCGCTGCAATTTTTTTACGTTCCTCAAAACGGAATAGTACCTTAATTTATTTATTTATTAACTTTATTTTAATGTATTGTTACGACAAATATTAGTAAAATCCTAGTACACGGTACGGCCTTGGCACGGTTTTGTCGCCAACACCAAAATGACCCGTTTACTGCTCATTATAAATGTAGCATTTACTGCTCAGAATAACGTCGCCAAAAGTCGCCAAGTCTCGTGTGTACCGCATACTAGGATTAAACTCAAATATTTTATTTTGCCAAGTTTTAGTGAGCATTCCCAGGTACCTTATTAAAGGTTTTCCATCTTTTCTTTTTGTAATAAGCCCTAATAGCGCATCCATATATTAAGATGTTTACGTTAACATTACCACACAAAGGTACACATTAACATCGCATTTCTCAAAATTTGAGCTATCCAATATAATTTTTAACTATTAATATATGCGTTTCTGTCAGGAGTTTTTAAAAGCATTTAAAACTAACAAGTATATTATCTAAATCCAATCGTAATATTTAAAAAATTGATATGAAAATATAAAAATTTAGGGTAAAATTGCTTTTGCGTACAATACACAATTTCCGTATCATATTCAGACGTCGATCTATAAATTATTGTTCTGAGAATTTTAGCTGGTCAGTATATTATTTCACCTCTGTATTTATTGCATTTATTATAATGAGTTCCAAAGCAAAATGCTATCAGATTTCTCCTGTAAGAACTTAACAACTAACTAAAAAAACTAACATTAGGTTGTTAAAAAAAAAGGCTTAAGGAAAAAAATAAACTTAAAGTGTAACTTAGAGTGTAAATCTTAATCATTCATGTAGTCATTTTTGGATGCTTGTTACATCGCACAGCTAAGCTGATGCATCCATTGTCGACAGAAATTAAGCCCAACTACAGAGAAGCCTTAATGAGGCATCGTAACATCTCATCATCGCTAGGTTCAAGTTCCTGCGGGACCACTTGCTTCGATGTGGAGCTCTTCGTGGTCTTACATAGGAGTCGACATACTGGAAGGCAAAAGAGCTCCTTGGGCAATGACTTTTTTTTTTTTTTTTTTTTAGTTTTATTGTTTGTAAGATTTTAGTTCTTTGTAACATTTTGCCTAGCCATAGGAAATAAAAAAAAAAATTCTTTCCAGGTGCAAAATTTGATCAAACCCGAACCAGAGATGTTAGATGGAACAAAATCCAAGGAGTGTAATGAATGAGAGAAGACTTCCCATCATGATGTAACAGTTTTGGCTAGGTCTATAATGATATAAAAGAATGTCCATTGCCTTATAAAACCGAACCACGTTGCAGTTAATCAAAAGAAGAGCTCCAGTGCATCAGTTTATTTCAGCAGTATCTGCATGAAGACATTCCTTTTGATTGCCATACTTACCACCACTAAACGAATGGTTTTTATAACAATTCACACAATATCAAGGTGAGAACATTTCTTAGATCACAATTGCCCTATCTAAATCATCGCTTTGGTACCATGCAAGGTAATGTAGCAACCTTCTTTGAGAACCTTTCCATATCTCAGTACCTTTTTATATGCAACATTAATATAGTACAGCACAGTGCTTAAATTGCGCCGGAGCCCACCGGAGCCCTAAATAAGATGGGCTCCGGTACTTCTTCTTGTAAAATGAACCACAATTTAAAGGGGGGGAAATTTAGAATTCCTAACGTTTTAGTTTAACAGTAAGCAGACCTTGCAATACTTTATTTCCCTAGAAATATGAACTCATGAGAACATGAGACGTTCAAGTAAAATCCCCTCACTCACATGCGGAAACCTTTCCCTTTAAGAAGGGCAATAAATTTGGGGGAGTTTGTTTAGGAACGCGTAAATTTTCGCTATGCCATCGTGGGTACTATATTGTTATCCATGCTTACAGTTAGTTATTCTCACAGGAAGGGAAATTTGTGTTCTTAAATGTGCGTTAAGTGACAGCGAATACAATAAGAGAGAAATACTGAGATAAACTGCTCAAGCATGCCCTCTACATCGTCTTCTCACAGTATCCACTAATGGGGGGAAGCGTAAACAGCAACTTTACATTCATCCTTAGGAGTCAGATTCAGGACTCATTTTAGCCCTGACACACATCTGCTTGATAGCCATAATTATATCAGCAGAGAGCCGCGGTCAAAAAGAACGTTCTTTCTCACCAAAATTCCCCTCATTTTTTGTTTCCACCCACTCATACCCTCACTTCGGTTTCGTCCCTGGAATTGTCATCAGCTATACTTTAAGCATATTTAATTTTTGCGATGATAAAAAAACTCCTCCTCCCTCTACGATCAGAGCTTAAATTGGGCCGGAGCCCACTGGCTCCGGTGCTTCTTAGTTCTTGTAAGAAATTATAATTCTAGTCGTAACGCACCAGAGCCTAGAATAAGAAGGCTGCGGAACTTCTTTTATGTAATTGAATAACAATTTCAGTAGAAATTTTGTCTCTAAAATTTTATTTTAACAATAAAATTATATTAAAAATCGCTTATTAAATTTCAATTTATCTCTTTACATTTTATTTAATTTTAATTATTTAATTACTTCAATTTTTAATTATTTCAATAAATAATAATTAATTACTAATAATTATCATTAAATTATAATTTAATTATCTGATTATTAGCAATTAAATTGTAATTAATTAATTATATAATAATTATTGATTAAGTATCAATATATAAACATGAATTAATTTGATAGTAATTAACTATTTAATTTAAAATTATTAATGAGTTTAATAGTCATTTTATTTATTTATTTACTCTTGTTCCTCTTTGCTGACGGTCTTCCATAGGGCACCGGCACTTCTAATCTTAGAAATAAAGCCCTGGTACAGCGACAACTTTTGATTTTTAGTCGCTAGTTGGATAAAAGTAAAACCCTGCTCTTCTCACATACTTGGGGTAACCACGATACTGTAGCTGTCACCCCAATTTCGTCTGACAAGCATCAGGGACAGCTTTCGTCAGCTTGCAAGAATTCGATTTGGGTAGTCGAAGTTTAGTCTTTTGAAAAATAGTAATTTCTTCTATTAATTGTCTCAAAGATATAACTGATTTTCTCAATAGTTCATTTTTCAACGTCTCGTGTTTAAAACTACTGAGTCTTCCTATTCTGACAGCATATAACAGACCCGAACACAGGCTTTGAATATTTGACCACTATATTGTGGTTAAAAACCTTATGTAATTTTCCAAGTTTAACTTTCATTTTCGTACCATTCAAATGTACATTTACTAATTTCCAATGATAATTTTGTATTGCTGTAGATGTATTTTATGTTGCTGAACAGTAAACTCTTGCCGAACGCGGACTTGCGGAATGCGATTTTGTGCATACGCATTATCTTTATTGTCTCATATTTAATTTGCCCAATACGAGAATTTAAGTTATACACGGTACATTGCGAAACGTCGGCCGTGTTTCGAATATCTTCATTAATGATTGATTTGGAAATTTATTCATTATCGAAGTCAAACATTGCTCAGAACAGCAAAACATGAGCTTTAAATTTCTCCTAATTCTCGATAATGCTCCAGGATACGGTGTGAAGGCTTCACAACATTTCATCCAAACGTAGAGATTTTATTCCTCTCACCAAATACCACTTCTTTAATCCAACCAATGGATCAAGGAATCATAAAAGCCTATTATGCCACGCGTGTTTACATCTCTGCAAATAAAGCACTAGACGAAGGAGAGCACGGCACACCAATGGAATTTTGGAAACAATTTAACGTAAGACACTACACAGAAGTGATTAAACTCGCATGGAAACAAATGAATTCTTCAATAATGAGTACTTGTTGGCATCAGCTCTGGCCAGAAGTTGTCGACAATTTTAAACGAATTGAAAACGAGGCCAAGGAAATTTTAAAAATTGCAACCGCAATAGGCAAAACGAAGGAATTTCAGGTATAGAAAGAAGAGAAATCAAAGAATTAGTCGAGAATGACAATAGTGAAATGACAAATGAAGAATTGGATGATCGTATTATGCTAACAGACGGTGAAAGCAGCAATACTGAAGAAGATGACTTGTAAGCCTTTAACTTGTAAGAAGTTAAACAAATTCTTAAAAAAACACACAAACTGTCTGATTTTGTAACTGAGATTATCGCCAATGAAGAAAGAAGGGATCATTTTATGAGAGGTACTGAGAACATTTGCACTTCTTACTGCGAAACCTTTAACACGACTCGCATGAGACATTTTCCAAAACAAAAATAACCAGCTATTTAAAGGAAATAAGTGTGTATTAGGGTTTGTACAAATTATGCATACTTTCTTAATCTGAACTATTGCTAACCCATTTTTTCCATTGAAAGTTAACTTTTGCGAAACGAGATTTAGCAGTACGCACAATGTGTTAATGACGTAGCCCTCGACAAAAGTTTACTAATTTGTGCTGTTTTTCTTTAATGTACTAGCGCAGTATTTCACGAATCCTGTGTCTCACTTCATCGCCTTCACGATAGACTTTTAATAGTTGAAATAAATGCCCAAAACTAACACCTTCTATATATTTGCCACTTGCGCGTTATTTTTACATGAAGCAGCTCTGTTCCACTCGAAAATCTTGCAAGCAGGATGCGGTTCTGTTTTGCACACATGAATCTACGATGTTTGCGCTATCAGTAACTGGTTATGTTCTACGGTCAAACGCGTAACTTGGCTGATTTCCAGAAATTCGGCTTTACTACTCATTATTTTAGTAACTTAGATATGAAAGAAATGTATCTTACCACAAGATTTGGCAAAGCTGAGTCCGATCTTCGGCCCATTCGTGGAATGGAACTCTTTGTTTTGGTGAAAAATTGACCGTTGACTGTAAGATGTGCAAAAACTACCACTAAAGATGCACACAACAACATATGTGAGGCTGAAAATAATAATAATAATAATAATAATAATAATAATAATAATAATTAAATAACTAGATGTAAGTACTAATGCAATAAAATAAATTTTCAGTATTCTCATAACAGCTGAAATTAAGCCACAGTCGAAAATTCTTTCATGACTGAGTTTCATGAATCTCCACAAAGTTATTTTCCCTTTGTTAGATGCTTGTAAGAAGCAAATCAAACCTGGACCCTTAACTTAGTTTAATCATACTATACATTAGATACTTAATAATTTCATAACAGCTATTTGTGTTATTTGATAGATGCTTGAAAGGTAATTATCCTAGGATAAAACTTGAAAAAAATTTTAATGAATTAAATTGTAAATTTACGGTTATTGTAAAATAGGCCGGTTTCGAATCCCGGGGAGTGCAGGGTTCTTTGTAAATATATAGTGTCAGTGCGGCATGACGGCACTTTAAATATGCGGTGAGCCGAAAGTCCTCTCGTGTGGTTTGGTGGAAGGGGAGAGGGGTGGGAGGTCCTCAGACCCATCCCTCGGGGTGCTTCCCATCAAAATTGGGAGGCGGAACTCAGTTAAATCGCACTGTCACCTGAATGGTGCTCAAGACTGTTGCTAACGATAGGCGTAATCTACCGCTCCTTGCCACGAGAATATAATATTGTAATTATATTATAAATACTAACTATATTAATATTCATAATATAAGTAATAAAAGAGAATAATATAAATAGTGAAAAATTGTAAATATTGTAATATATATTATTCAGCGGTTTAATTACTAGATTGCATTTGTATGAAATTGTGAATTAAAAAAAAAGAACCTTGAGAGTTCCCTCAAAGCATTTAAAGAATAAAGGATTTCAAATTCATATTTCAATAAATTAATAAAAAGGGAAGAAAATTAAGAAACTGATTAAAAGTTTAAAACCGCTGCTAAGTTAACTGTTATTTAATTCATTTTTTACACAGTAAAAAAAAATGATAACAATATTATATATTTCAGGATTCTAATATTTGCGTAGTACTGTGCCATGGCGCAATTTTTTACAAAAATTCGGCATGAGATTTGGAAAACACGGTTTTCTTCTTTCAGTTTTTCAGGAAATCACAAACTTTAAATAAACAGAAATTAAATGAAATAAAATGAAAAATCTAGTGCTAATATTACTTTTAATTTTAATGACTTCAGAAAACTTAGCCGTTGCAATATGCTTCTGTGAAATAATTTATCATTTAGATAATAATTTCCACATAACTATTATAACTTTCTAAAGATAATTTTCTTATCGTGTTTAAAGTTACAATGTTAGCAGCAGCAAGTTAAACAATTAATTGGGTGATTCGAACTCTAAAACTAAGTTCCGATTTTATGCAATGTCATGCGTACTTTTCAAGTATTATTTTAAGAAGACTGGAATACATTTTCTACTTACATATTTAAAAAATGTAGATACACATGAAATTCATAATATAGGATCAAATAAATTATTGTAGCGGGAAATTTCTGCACTCCCAATTATGAAATGAAGAAATATAACAACAGACCACTCGAAAGACACTCAGAAGTTTGCCTGCCATTGTAAACTGAATTAAATTATAAATGTTAACAAAAATGCACGGTACTTTTCCACTTTGTCGGCGCAGGCGATAAAGTCGCCAATAATGGTACAACTGATGCCAAACGGAAAATCCTCGCTGGTAACATTTTACGCCTTATTTTTAAAACAAGTTGCAGCCATTTCTTATCAGATTGATTGTTTCGTTCAATACTGCATACAATTTACATAGAATTTTTACTAGATAGTTCAGTTTTATGCCCTAAGGCCATTGCGGTAATTAAGTCAATTAGGATGCAATCACCACCGCTCACCCGAAGGCGAAATTATAGAAAAGCAAAGTCAGGGGTTAAATTCATCAATTCTAATGAGAATGCACTGCGGTTTTATATAATTTCTGAGTAAGCTATTCGTAAGCATTGAAATAATTCTTGCATTTAAACTTGTATTCCAAATTAACATTTAATTTAAAATTAATGTAGATAATTACTGAAAGAATTAGATTTTTGCAGCGTAGTTTGCGTGAGATGAGATCACTTGGGGTCACGTGATATGAACCGGCGAATCAGGATGTTGAACCATGAAAACATAATAAATTCTTAAATTAATGTCTTTTTACAAATTTGTTGTGTTTATTTATTTGCTTTCTACAAAATTTTAAACGATATTAAAAATTTATGCCTTCAAAATAAAAAATTCTTAGAACGAACATTTGTTAACATTTTTTATGTGTATACTGTATGTTGTCGCCAATAAAGTCTGCTTGACGAGATTTACGCCGGCGAAACGGAGACGTATCAAATTTATAAACTAATTTTCTTAAAGTTTGACAATTCGTGGAATTTGTCTCAGAAAAATAGCTAAATAATAGAGAAAAATTCGAAATTTTAATTAATTCAGATTTATTCATAGTTCTTTTTCTCCTGTTACTGTTAGAATTTATGCACCATTTACCCGTAGAGTAGTAAAAATTAAAGGGAAATGGCTAATGAGCCAATTCTTGTGTAAAAATAATTTTCTTTCATTTTAGAATCGATGTGGTTTTCATTGCATTGCATCTGAATCAGCAATTTAGTGGTAAAAAAACTGTTGATATTAAGTAAATGCCCTAAAATGTGTAAGATATTTTCTCCCACCTTACCGCGCGTCTTCTTGGTGTAATTGGAAGCATATCCGGCTGACATTCAGAGTTCAATTCTCGACGAAGGCATTGCTGATTTTTGATGTTTCTTGCTTCGATAAACTTAGTGACCCTAAAATTTTATATTACATTCGATTTCAAATCTGTGAAACCGAACGAAATATAAAATACATCATTTAATAAAACTAAAAAATATGACGAAAATAAAAGGCTTATCTATAGTTAAATTTCTCATCAACTGAAGATCATTTCCTGTAAACGACTAAATCTAAATGTGATCAATATTTCGTATAATCTATTAAATATTAGTGGCTTCTCTGTAAAAATTAAAGCAAAATTTAAAATCTGCGTTTAATGAAAAATTAATTTAAGAATACAATTTTAAAATATGCATCTGTACTTATTATGATACAAATTAAATGTAGTAAATGAAGTATATAATTTAAAGTCTTGAGCCTTCAGGTTCGTTTTCTCAGTAAAATTTGACAAAAGACTTTTTTGAATAATATGTCATTTATTTTTTAAACATTTTTATAGAATATACTTAAATAAAATCAAGAACAGATTGTGGAAGATTATTTCAGAAACATCTTTTAAAAACAATGAATGTGGACTCATTAATTTTCTGCAGAAAATTTAGAGTGTGGTACACAGGGCTATCAGGAGCTGATACTGCTATCGAGGTTCACTGAGATTGCTACTATAATCACATTCATTTTTAATGAATATTTACGAGGACATCAATAAAAATAATCTTTCCGAAGAGTTAATTTAAAATACTTAAAGATTATTTAAAACTCGAATGACTGAAAAGAAGCAAAGATTCCAATTTTCGAATCTCAATTTTTTTTTTTTTTTTTTTTTTTTTTTTTCCCCGTGGGATTTGATGATGAATCCTGAAATAACACATTTCTGTAATTAAAATCATTGACTTGTTGAAACTTACCTCTCATGTCTAATTTGAAAATTGCAGTGGTCCTCTTTAATTAAAACTTGATGTACTCTCAGATTTAACTCTTCACTTCTTTCAGCTCCTTATACAAAAGGAATAGCAGCATGAATGATTCCTCTGGGATATCACAGAGTTCAAGTTATACGTCGAAGATGCGGGTTGTCTTCAATCAGCAGCTTATTTATTATTTTCAATTGCTATTGTGTCCAAAGCCCAGATGTTTCTGAAAATCATACATAAATAAGGTTAATATAATGAAAGTAATTTATCAACCTTTTCTCTAGCAGGTGATAATCTCTTGCTCGAAACGAATCTAACCTGGAAACGCACGGAAAGGTGCAGGCAATGTACGTTTTCCAAGTAATGTGTTCTGTAAATATAATTTAGAGGAAAACCTGCAGTTACTAGGAATAGTTTCAAGACCTGTTATTATAAACTGATCATTAAAATGTACATTTTCTCACTTTTCTACATTTTGTTTTTTGACTGGTAATGTAAGGTCAGAACGGAGTCAATAGATATACTCATTTTTCTTTGACTCATGCTTATTTAGTGGTAAACGTTATAGATCTCCCTTAGCCCCGCTAGCCTCCTTATACAAAAGGAATAGCAGAAAACTTTTATTTATTTTACTGTATTAATCCAAATTCCAGTCTTTGAAACGGCTTGTTAACAAATTTTATTATTAATAATTGTCTGCCAATTTTTACATTTTAAATTCTCTCAAAATCGAAAAAAGTGTGAAATTTCGATCTAGACCTTGTAGTCAAACAAACCTAGAAAATCTTAACACGTTGATTAGATTGTTATTTTAAATGTCTTCATAAAATTCAAGATCATCATCCATGGCACAGCTGCCAACCTTAAAATCTTAAAAACCTGGAGATGTTTGCAAAAAAAACCTGAAGAAACCGGGACTTTCCACTCTGCGTAGCTTCACATTTCACAGGTATTCCAAGCTGACTGTAATTCACTTTAATGTACGGCTAATATTATTAAACCATTTGTAATTCAATTCTGATGTAAAATATATCTAAATGTTATGCTCTTTGGCTAATTTTGTTACTTAATTATGTCACACTTTTTTTTTTTTTTTTACTGAGAAAATGCCGAGTAGTGAAGGAAAACTTTTATTATCGAATAAGATGAAAATAAAATTGATATACCTAGCATTTATGTGGAAACTTAGTAATGCCCCATATATTGAAATACACAAAATTAATTACAAATATTAACGGATTAAACATTGCTTGAATCTTTATGCAAACATCTACAAATGTCTATAAATTGAGATGAGTCAGATGAAATGAAATTTAGTAAGAAAAATTTAATAAGATGAATAAAATATAATTTAGATGACATAAAATTTAATAAGAAATATTATCCTGAAATTTAGAAGAGGGGTTAATGAAATTGGCAGAACCTAAGTTTCATTAATTCAATAAATTTCATTTATTTCTGGTAAACATTTTCATTAAAGGCTAAAAAGGTTAGGTTAGGTTAGGTTATTTAATTACGGCAAAGCCTCGAGGGCTATCTGCCTAAGGGGAGGGATGCCTTCGTGGAGGACTTTCTAAGGGAAACTGGCTCGTATACACGTTCAACATGGGGAAAACCACGAAAACACTCATGCATCCAGCCCGTTCACGGGATTCGAACCTCGGACCGAACTACCAGTGTTCAGCAACTTTATCGCTCGGCCGCTGGTGGGCCCAAAAATGAGCAATCGCCTTCGCCGTGTATCGAACCACGGACTTCTGGAATACCGGTACAGCGTACAGAACCACTACACCACGAAGGCACACTAAAAAGTAAAAACTGGGAGATTCGATGATTTGCTGGGAGACCGGGGGAGATGTGATGAAAAACCAGGAGAGTTGGCAGCTATGTGATGCTAATAAATAAAATAAAAAAGACAACAAAAAAGTGTCAACGACCTGTGAACATAAAGCTATAATCAAAACTCATCCGAAACAAGCGGAAATTTTACGCTGAAATGAATTACTTGTAAGAATTATGTTAATTTTATTAACAGTTCAATTCTTCCTTTTCTATCGCTTCTTAATTTCAACTTACCACTTCCCGGCCAGAACGTAGTTTTAGAATCCCGTCTAAATGCTAATGAGAAAGAGCGGTATTTAACCGCAAAGTTCTACTGTCTTAATGAGAAAGATACCAGATATTCTGGCTGCACGCGTCCGCCTTTTTAGGCTACTCTCTCGTAAGATATTATTAGGCTCGGCCGTACTTTAGGCCCTTGATAGCTTCCCAATCAATAAGCGTTAAAGGGCCAACTCTGTTAGAATCTTGATAGCTTCGGCTCTATCTCTTTAGTTAAGATTAGTTTAATTTAATTCTTAGTCTCTGAAGTTCACGCCCTATTTACACTTGATTGGAATAATGAAGGCCCTTCTATCTTGTTTCCTGTCACACGAACTCAAGCCATTATTTGCTTATCAGTTCTTAAGATTCTTCATTTTCAGTGTAACTTAGAATTACACAGTGGAGAATTCTACGTTGAGCTCCCGAAAAGGTTTCAACGGGCCATGTCGTTAGAGTCCGGGAACTTTACGTTGACCCTTCCGACCTTTCAGGTCCCTCAGATGGCCGCGAATCCAATGGAAGGATTTGGCTTCATCATGGAAACGACTGCGTGCTGCTATAAGCCAGTCGCAACATCTGATGGTAAAGGTTCAGTGATGACCTTCCTGGAACAACTGGACCTGCATTTTACTTTATATCCAGAGCTGCAGAAAGTCACCATCGCTCCAACAAACGCAAGAGGTCAAGCTCTCAGCTGGTATAAAGAAACTGGAAAGTTTCTGTTCGGGGACCCAAGTTCAGAAACGTACAGCTGGGAAAATTTAAAGTCTGCATTATCAAAAGCATTTCCAGTTGTTAAAGACCGATCGAAGCTAGAATCAGAATTTTTTAGTGAATATCAAAGCAATTTCGATGTGTTGACGGAGTTTATTCTAAAAAAAATTCAATTATTCAATTTATTATACGAGAACAGGCCCGATAGTGAACTTATCGGGGTAATTCCATCACGTCCTACTACCGTCAGCTCAAGATTTCCTCGAAGTCCGTAACCCTCAAACATTAGAAAATCTATTCCAGCTCGCGGTGAAGTTCCAAAGCAGAAGGAAATCGTAGAAAGCGCATGAGAACTATTTTGGCCAATATTCAAGGTTTACTCTTCAGAAGAAACCGCAAGTTCAGCAGAATGCGTATCGGCAGACGGGAAAAGGTGAAAAGTCCAATAGCAAAAGCGCGGATAAAACTAAAGGTGGCGGATACAAAAATCAGTGAAAAGAGGCGGCGGGGAACCGAAATTTAAACGCAAACCGGTGATCGACAAAAAGGAGACGGTCACCGAGTGGGAAGAAAAGCCCCTTAGAAATTAGTCTAAATACAGTGGTGGGTGCAAAATCTAGTTATGCCGGAAATACATATTCTCGTAAATAATGTACCGACTACTGCCCTCCTGGACACCAGGACTTAGTGTTCATTTCTCTCGGAAGATTTTTTAAGAAATATTTGCGTCGTTATAGACTATTTAAAACCACAGGGCAAAAAGTAATTGCTGCCCAAGGCAAACAGTGCGTATGTTTGGGAAAAACGGCACTGCATGTAAAAATTAAAAGAGATGTGTAAAAAATTTACTTACATACGTAATATTAGGTGTCGATTTCTTACGCGCAGTTGGCGCGAATCTTAATATCCAGAATTCTACGTTTGAGGTGCACATGGACACCGTGAAAGAAGAGGAAGGGTCTATGCCGGAAATCGACTTAGACCACCTGAACCTTGAAGAGAAAGAAAAGATTGAAAAGGTGGTAAGAAAATTTAATTCAATGAAAAACCTGGCTTCTGCCAGGTAGTGAATCATGCTATTGATACAGAAAATGCCCCTCCAGTCCTGTCGAAACCTTATCGATATGATAAAGTCAAGGAACAGATTCTGGAACATCATATATAAACAATGTTAGAAAATAAAATCATTGTGCCAAACATTAGTCCATACGCAAGTCCTGTGGTCCTTTGCAGGAAGAAAATTGGCTACCGCCCGAGCACCCGAACCCGTACAGTTTTGCAGTTGATTATCGAAAACTTAACAGTATAAAGAAGTATCCCACTCATCCGCTACCAATAATTGAGAAAATGTATATAAAAATTAGTTCTACTAAGTTTATGACAACCTTAGACTTAATGTTTGGTTATTTTCAAATCGCCGTAAAACCCGAAGATGTTGAAAAGACTGCGTTCATTACAAATTCAGGCGTCTATGCCTTCTTAAGAATGCCGTTTGGTTTAAGCGGAGCACCGGCTAATTTTAAAGCAATGGACATAGTTTTAAGGCCAGTTTTGGATAAAAGTACAATAATTTATTTTGATGATATAATAGTCACCAGCGAAACAATAGACGACCATGTGAAACACTTGGAAAAAGATTTTAATTAGCTTAAAGAGGCCGGTTTCAAAATAAATGGAAAAAAAAAAAAAAAAAAAAAAAGCAGGTTCGCTGCCAAGGAGTTGCGGTGCCTTGGGTATAAGATTTCAAATAAGGGCATAGAGACTGATAATTCAAAAATATTAGCGATTAAAAGTTATCCTCCCTCAAACACGGCTAAGAAATTATCTTTCTTTTGGGGCTTATGTTCCTATTATAGAATATTTATTAAAGACTTCGCCAAAATTTTTGAGCCTCTGCTAGTGCTAAAAAGAACGAAAGCTAGATTTTCTTGGACAGTCGAGGAGAACACCGCTTTTGAACAACTAAAAATGCTCTAATTAATGCCACAGTCCTCAAATTCCCAGAAGGCGAACAAGATCAAGGAATTGCTGCAGTTGCATCCAATTATGCAATTGGAGCTGTGATAGCCTTCATTCCGAAAACGCTGAATTTTACCCAAAGGAACTATTCAGCAACAGAGCGAGAAACGCTCGCTGTTTTATTAGCGGTTCAGAAATTTCGCGTCTACTTCGGAAGTTCTCCGATAACAGTATACTCGGACCATGCGGCAGTCGGTCGCTTGTATTCGGGGAACAATTTATCGCCTCGCCTGATACGGTGGACATTAAAACTACAAGAATTTAATTTAATTATAAAACACATGCCGGGAAAAGAAAATTTAGCTGCCGATGCCCTTTCAAGAATAAAAATCGATGAGGACGGGAATACAGTTGAGTGTGCTATGCTCACTTCAAAAGTTATTGAAT